CAGCTCCTGGCATTGATTTTACTAAGGAAAATATCCCAACTACAGACATACCAGCCAGATACGTAAATTATGAGGCTGTGTAGAAGAAAGAGCCTGCATCCTTTGCAAATACAATAGGTTTGCTTCTGCATCTGTTCAGGCAACTGTAACAAAATACCCTAGACTGGGTGGCTTGTAAACCACAAATATTTATTTCTCACAGTTCTGGACGCTGGGAACTCCAAGATGAAGGCAGCAGTACATTCGGTGTTTGGTGAGGATTTGTCTTCTCATTCACTGATGGTTGTCTTCACTGTGTGTCCTCACATGGTGGAAGGAGGTGAGGGAGCCCTGTGGGGTCTCTTTTATAAGGCACTAATCCTATTCATGATGTTGCCACCCTCGTGATCTAATCACCTGCCAAGGGCCCTGCCTCCAAATACTATCACAATGGGGATCGAGTTTTCACGTATGAGTTTGGGGGAGGTGGGGCATAAACATTTAGTTTACAGCAGTTTCCTAGGAGACCCTAAGACTTGTTAAAGATGGAGGAAAGTTGTCTTTGTGATTCAGGGTAGGAACGATGTCTAGGAAACACCAATCTTTCAGTAACATCAGTACAGCCACCCAGAAGCATAACCATCATAATTCATGAAGTCAACAAATTAATATGTGGAGTGGAGGACAGGGAGACTACATTTAAGAATGTCAAAAATCTGCTCACTTCCTACCTTTCCAACCTGCAGGTAAAGTTTTACCCCAGCGTTTCCTATTAGGCTGTATGTATGCAAACTGGTCAAGCATCTCCAAGGATTGCAGCCCATGAGTAGGTGAGAACCAAGACATACAACAAACCCTTTTCTCTCCATGCTGTGGCATTGTAAAGTGTTTCCGAGTCCCAGTACCCGAGCCCCTGCCTTCACCCCACTACTGGCGTTTCTCTGTTTGCCTGTGCTTGTCTCCACCTTGGCGCTTGGCCTCTCCACTTAGCGCACATCCACTGTGTGGACACTGTGTTTGGCTCTGCCCGCAGCCACCAGATTGTTCCATGCTTTGCAGCCTCTGGGGATGTCTCACTCCTCTGTATATTCAGCCCCCCACCCCCTGGGACCTCTAGTTTGCCACTTATCCTGGACAAGAATTCAGGTAATATTCAATTCCTTCCCTGATGCCTTTACTTCCTCTCCTGCCTCTGCCTGAATTGCTCGCTAAAGGCATCAGGAGGTCCATTTAATCTTATATTAGGACATATGGGCTGCTTATCCCTAACTTGACTTTGCTCCGGAAACACTAGCCAACCCACCATCCCTCTGGGAGAGAAAAGGCGGAAGCTAGTGTGAAAGGAAAAAGAACGTGACATGGCGCCCCAAGCTGAGCACTGTTGTCCCCCTACAAGACATACACAACCCACAGAACACCAGCCCTGGCAAGGCTACTCTGAGATTGTGATAAAATGAGACAAAGCAAGGCCATGTAATAATTTTGTCTAAGCAAGGACAAAACCGTGGCCACTGTACCACCCGCAACACAGTAAACATCCGCATCTCTGGGTCAGAATGAGTGACTGCTACATCTTTACCAGTTACAGCTTTATCTTGTTCTAGTCCCCCCTCCATAGATACCAGATTAATTGAGTTAGCCAATTATAGAATTACCCTCACTCTCTGATAGCATCAAACCCCTGGTTCCTTAGAGTCTCCCTCAAAATTCAACTGAAGCCCAAATCCTATAATAGGTTCTTTCAAACACCCTCTTAATGAGATGCTCCACAGTTCCCCAGGGTCTGTTCTCTCCATAGCTGCAAAGAGTAATAAATGCGACCTTCATAACTTCAGGTTTGCTCCTGGTGGCCTTTGGCTAAAGGACACTGGCACAAACAAACATGACATGGCCCCTCCTGCATGCCAGGCACTGTGGTAGGCCATGTGGATACAGGGGTAAACACAGCATGTCCTTATTAAATCCTATAGCACCTTTGTGAGATGGAGTTTGTCATCTTTCCCATACAGAAAAGGAAACCAATGCCCAAGGCCATTTAATTATGGAGTAGGACCAGGATTCATCTCCCAGTCTGTGAGCCCCCAAAACTATCATTCCCCTAATTCAGAGCAGTGTCAATTAGTTGTTTTCCTTTCTTTAAAAATGATATTGTGAACAGAGCTGACCCCACCCACCACCTCCAGGAGCAGCAAAATGGAAAACCAATCAGGGCTGGCCAAACAAAAATGATAAGCACAGACTGGATGTAGGATGATGGCAAAACTAGGTAAACTAGTTAGAGGCCAAGAGACACAGTCCCTGAGCCAAATGGCCTAAATGGCAATATGGGATTGAGAATGAAAGAGAGCTCCATGATTTTCAGGCAATTTGCAGTATCTCAGCTAATAAAAATGAGAAACAAAGGAAGTAAATGGATTGGCTTATGATGAGCTGATCCAAAGGAACAAAGGTACAGCAGGGGCTGCAATATTCTTAACAGTAAGCGGAGCAGGGGAATCAATGCTTCTAGGATAATAAGAACAAATGAAAGGATGATAAAGAGAGAAAATAAAAACAGCACAGAAAAGAGCCATCATTATCATCGGCTTATTGAACCAGTGCCCCCGGGGGAAGGGAGAAGCCAGATCTCAGACACAATTTCAGCCTGACGGTGTATTGTTGGGAGTTGCCTTATGCTGGCAGGGAACCATCTATGTGAGCCTCGCTGGCGTGTATGCCTGTGGGGTGGAGGATCTTGTGGTCTGAATTCATTTTCTCTTGGCAAAATATATCTGTCCGCTTCTCTGAGTAGAGACACAGAGCAGGAGAGAGGGCCTAGAAAGCTTATTGCATGTCACGTCATTCTTGAAAATCATATTTTTATGAGTGTAAATGAATCAGAAACATATGGATGAAATTTCCTGGCTTGATGTGAGCAGCCTCATACCCCAAGCAGTGCCCTCAGAGAGGATGCTTGGAATGTCAGAGTTAGTGCCAGAATTTGGGGTGGAAAGGTCAAAGGAGGAGCCTCCCCCTCTCTTGGACCCCATCCCTGCAGAACAGACCCCTGCTGCTCAGCCTCTACAAGAACTTCCTGTGCCAGATCACTTCCCATTCCCTAATGTGCTCATTCTATTCCAATAGCAAAGGCTGAGTGTGTGTGTGTGCACATAAGCACATACATAAGCAAGGGTGCATGCACGTTTTTACTCCCCCCAAAAATGTTGTTCATGAAGGGGCCAGGATGCACAGAATGCTATAAAATAACAATGACTTTTCTGTTTAAATGATGAAATTGTCTTACAGGAAAAGTGTCTTCTAAAATAAAAATACTAGCACTAAATAGTTGGCAACTGCAGAAAAATTCAGCCACATAGTTGTGGCATAAAATCTATGGATATGAACACAGAATATTTGTGCACTACTGTTTAACACACTGAGAAGAAACACCAACCTCCCAAATTTTTGAATCAGGCTTTGTGTTCAGCAGCTACATTTTTTGGTCAGAGCAAGGAAATAGCCAGGAATGTGTTATATTCTTCACAAATGGATTAAGAAGTCAAAAGTCAGGATGATTGAGATGAAAATGCACACAGCTACCTCTCAACCAGCACACTGCCTGAAATCTATGTGGTATAATGGGCGAGTAAACAAGCAGAGGCTTTGATGCCAGGTGCTCAAGCATTGACCCCTCGCTTTGCCATTTGCTAGCTGTTTGACAATGGGCAAGTCACTCAACGACTCCGACAGTTTCTTTATGCTATGTAACAACATCCCTGAACATAAGAGTCCAACAAATGATAGCTAATTTCTGAATGAAAAGTTTCCCATTTACATTTTAAAACTGAACCTTCAGAATTACACAGATTTTGAGCTGAATTATTGGTATGTTCCTTAAGGTCAGGTGTAGATACAATCTGTCCCAGATGAAAGCTCAGTATTTCATTTTCAGACCCTGAGCCCACACCCTTACTTGTCCAGCACATTAGGTAACTCAAAGTAGTGATGTCTGACTGTCCTGGACACATCAAGAATACTCAGTCTGGGCCCCTCACTGTACCAGCCCACTGTAGGCCAACTCCTTGGCCACTGGCTTGTTATCTGTCTTTTGCTCTTACCAACCTCCATCTGCCTGTGTACACACTAACCTAAGCATGCCCTCCCAGCTGTGCCCAAGCCGTATGCCGCTGCCATTATTTCTCAAGAAGCAATAAAGTTGGAAAGCTTTACCCCAGGTAGTTGACAGCTCCTGTCCTGCTAGCAGACTGCGCTAGCAGACTATGGCAGGTTGACTCTGCAGTAGTTCCCCCACCTTGACTTTGTTTGTTTTACAAATAAAATCCAAATTCTTGGTCTGACAGGATTCTCACCCCAGCCTTCCTCATCAGCCCCCTGCCAAGATCCTTTTCACTCCAACCAGATGGGTTTACTCATCTCTCTCCAGCCACACCCAGCTCATCCTAGTCCTGTGACTTCTTTGGGCTGTCTCCTCCACCTCTCTCCTCTTTTGGATATTTGACTGAATTCCAGCCCTCCTGGAAGATGTCACCATCCACCGGGTCCCATTTTTTCTTTCCCTCCAGTACAGAGAGGCTTCCCACCTGCTTCAGCCCACACGGTCTTCCTTCCACCAGCCGCTGCAGCTCATCTGCCTTCAGTGCCAGTGTGTGGCCGAGCGTGCCAGAGCAGTAACTTTTCCCATGCCGCGCTCTAGCTCCCCACTCTGGTGCAAGCCTCTTGAGGGCAGAAACTGTGCCTTACTCGGCAGGCTGTGCAGTGGGCAGTCAATATTTTATAATCATTAAGACAGATGGGAGTGGTTGGAGGATGACATGAAATAGAGTTTGATAAAAAAGTTGTTTACTTTTTTATCATATATAAATAATGCTGTCATATATAATCAGTTCTTATCACTTTATTCTCTGTGAACCACTTGGGTCTTGGCAGCCCTGGCAAGGAAGGAAAACCTGTTAACTCCTCCAGCTCTGACTGAGGCAGAGGACTTGAACGGACACACTGTGCCCACTGAGACACATACTCACATGAACCATCATCAGATGCTCTGCTCTTCTTCCACCCTACCCTCCATGTCATGGCCCCAGGTTGTGCTGCAAATCTGCTGAGGCTGAGGGGGTCCTCAGGAGCTCTGCACCTTGTAGTAGGTCAAGGCACCTTCTGAATCCTGAAATGGATAATGGAAGGCTCTGGTGCAGACAACCCAGATGAAACCCTGGTGTAAGCATCCCATATCTGTGTTATACTGTGGTTACAATCCTGGTTCATCATCTGCTGGGAATGGACTGTAAGCAATTTAAACTGAAAATACAAATGTGACATTATTTTGCAGACTATTCCTAGAATATGTCTTAAAGCAAGTCATGTGATCTATGGCTCAATTTCCCTATGGAAATGATAATTGCAAATACCTCATAGGGTAGTTGTGAAAGTTATCTTTCAAAAAACGTGTATACCCATAAAATGGAGTGCTATTCAGCCCTAAAAAGGAATGAAGTACTGATGCATGCTACAACATGGGTGAACCTTGGAAACATTATGCCAAGTGAAAGAAGCCAGATGTGAAGGCCGCATATTGTGTGATACCATTCACATGAAATGACCAAAATGAGCAATTTCAAGAGATCAGAAAACAGATTAGCGGTTGCCAGAGGCTAGGGAGCAGAAGGATTAGGGGAGTGATTGCTCATGAGCATGGGGTTTTCTTTTTCTTTTTGGAATGACAGAAATGTGGAATTGGATAGTGCTGGACACAGCCTTGCAAACAGACTAAAAACAAAACAGAACACTGAACTGTACACTTCTAAAGGGTGAACTTTATGGTAAATTATATCTTAATTTTTTAAACTGTAAAAAGAACATAGATAACCTGCTTGGCCCAGAGCCTGGCAGATATAAATGTTCAGCAAATACAGTTGTAATTAGGATATGAATTATTGGAAAGATTAAGGTAGCAGAAAAAAATTAGATGTGGGATTAAACCCTGGTTCTTCCACTCACTAGCTGTGCTGAATGACCTTGGGTAAGTTATTTCAAGTCTCTTAGATTCCACTCCTGGAAAGGTCAATCAGGAGCAATAACCAGATTCGCCTTTGCAAAGCACTTGCCATGGAAGTGATGCTCAAGCCATAGTTTTCTTCCTCTTTATTTCCTACTAAATCTCATTCTTACAGTAATTCTCAGAGCCCAGCTGGAGCTGACTGGGAGTTAGGGTTCCATCCCTGGAACTAATGACAACCAGGGATGCTGGGTGGGATCATGCAAAGTGCTTCCACAGGGAGCCCCAAAACAGAATCAGCAGAAAGGCCAGTGAGAATTGCAATCCTTAAGGGAAGCCAGAGTTTAGCATTGGGAACGCAGGTCAATGAACAGTCTAAGCAGAGTCTGAGACTCTGGGTCTGGCTGCAGAGTTAGTCAAGTGGTCAGGGACCAAGCAACCAAGATCTAGAAGCTGTAACAAACCATTCCAGATAAAGGCAATGGCATAAGAGCCCAAGGCAAGGCCAGGCTTGTTTATTTTAAAGACGCTAAACTAGATTGGACCTAAGACTTGATATCTGTTATCCTCAACTAGTCAGTAAATCATTATCCCTGTCATAGAAGCCTATGCAAAGGGGAGGGAATGGGAAGGGAGAGGGGGCTCGGGGAGTGGGTTCTAGGGAACTGGACATGATTAATCATCACCACCTCTCCCTGGACAATGCTGTTCAGTGTGCAGCAGTTGGGGGTGGGAAGTCTTTTCGTGAAAATTCTTCTTCTCCTTATCCCACAGCCCTGCCAAAATATTGCCACAGGATAAATTTAAGGACAAAATGCAGTGATTTGTTGGATGCCAAATTTCTAAGATGGGAGGCTTTTTGCTCAAGAGTTGAAATTGTTGCATTGACAAATTCTGGTGTCTACCTCTGCCGGCTGTCTCGGGGGGCTGGAGGAAGGGGGAGAATTTGATCCCATGAAGAGATTCCTCCTAGCTGTCTCTTAATCTATTCCACGATCAACACTAACACTGTCAAAATACTTAAACTTTTCTTCCTTGTCACCCATCTATTTATGAATTCATTACAAAGGTCAGATGCAGAACAATATAAGGTCTGCAAGATAAAACGAGGGCAGATTATTTGAATATAATCCATAGAGCAAGTACCGGCCAGCATAATAAATGACACCAGGCACCCTCCTTGCAAAGAGTGGGCCAAGGCAGTGTCTCCTCCTTCTCCCTTCCACAGAGAGAGATCCATTTCCTTAAAGGCCATTATATTCCAAGACAGAGGGGGGCACATATGTTTCTGCTTAGGACCTGCATCTTCAGTGATGGCCAGGCCATTTCTCGGGGACCTGGCTGACACAACTTAGTAGAGTTTAGTCTCACAACAGCAGACATTCTGCATTTCAGTAATTTCTTCTTTCAGGAGAGTACACTGTAACTGGAGGCAGTGGCTAAAGTCTGGAGCCTGCTGGGAATGGGACTCTAACAAAGCCTTTAGCTTCTGGGACAATATCAGGATTTGTATTAAATGGGCCCCACATCCTGACTTGCACATTCACCCACTCCCTGACACACAAACCCACTTACTTATACAAATTTAGGTCCACAAATGTGTGCACATCCAGATGCATATTACATGTGCATATGCATCTCACACACATACAAACATGCACAAGTACCTTTCTGAACACATGTCTGAAAAGATACCACAAGCATACATACACATTGCTCATATGTATGAGCACGTGCATAAAAACCTACATACATGTGCAGGTACACACACACACACACACACACACACACACACACACCCTTCATGCATAGGGATATGTAAGTCCTTATACTAAAGGCAGGGATTATGTGGCAATCTTGCAGGATCCAAATTATAGTCATAATTATAGTCTTCTAGACAGTTGCACCCCATTATAGCAATGACATTTTTAGGAGACATAATGAAAACAGTTACAGAGTTTGCTATACTACAAGAAGTCCACAAATCAAGGCTCCTTATTCCCCAACAAAAGGAAGAAGCAAAGCATTGTTCAGAACGTAACTGAATTGTGACCAGGTATTAACAATGGAAGGACCTTTCACACTGAGGCTCCAATATTTTAACACACTCCAGTAAATTCATAAAGGCTGATTTGTTCACCAGCAACTTTTGAGATGGATGAGGACCTGAGGGTAATGTTCCCATTTGTCAACCCACACACATCTCTGTGCCTTCAAATAGAGACAGGCTTCCCGGGTTCCTTCCAGCTTGGGGGTATTATTTTTGCTAATGGTATTTTTAAGCGTCCAAACAGGCCGTTCGTTTGCATAAAAAATACAATGGAAAAGAGCAATGCCTTTTTGTTGTTATTTTCCAGTTTGGCAAAACCACATCTTAGAAGCAGAAATTTTGAAGGCACTCTGCCTCTCCAAACCAGATTTGCAGACAACTAGAGAAATTCTTTAATGGAGCTATATTTGTTCTTAAATCATTAGCAATGGGAGTTATGCTTTTCTTAAACTCAACCCTAACAAACATTGACTCTTCCCTCCTTCCTTACCCTACGTGGGCCCTCCCGCTCGCCGCTGCCCAGCTCAGACCCTAATAAACAAAGCCCTCTCTTACACCGTCAGCCTCAGGGAGACAGGGGGTGAGTCGTTCTTCAGTTGAGTTCTCAGGCGCTCCCAGGACCACGGTACATGCTGGAGGCACGGGAAAGCTGCTGGCCAGAGAAAAGGGAACGGGGGTGAGGGTGGGGGCGGGCTGGGATGTGGGGGTGGGGGGTGGGGGAAGCCGGGTACAAACTTCTTTGAGTCTGAGAAGTCAGAGCCTAGAGTGCTGCCTGGAATTCCAAGCTGGGGAAGAGATCTCAGCTGCTTTCATATGGAAATTGGACTGGAAGCCACTTTGTCTCTGGGTGGAACTGAAGCCAAGACCAAGTTCAGTGAACCTAACACACCTTTCAATCAACCATTGAAACCCAGGAGAAGAGAAGGCAGGAAAGGGAGGGCAGAGGGTCAGGGAGGCTCCCCTTTCATTTGGACTTGGTTTTGGAGGTAGCGGTAAGAAGGAATTAACCCTGGAAATGAAGGCAAAATCCCATCTATCCAGAGGATGTATTCAGCCTGGCTAAAAGGGAAAGAAAAGAAGGAGATAGAAGAAAGCAAGCAAGCAAGTGAAACAGTGAAAATCAGAAAGGCAGACAGAAAGAAGGAGGAAGAAGGAAAGGAGAAAAAGAAAGGCAAACAACAATAACCGCTCAAAGCAGTGATTCTGAAGCAGACAAAACAATCGCAAGCACATAGGCAGGGTAGGACATAAAGAAGGACTAACAGGAACTTGTCTATGCTCTGCTGAGATGCACCCCTGCCTTCCACCTCAGAGAAAGACCTTCAGGAATGTGGCAGTTCTGAGAGGAGATACACACTGGGCTTTTGACGGTTTACTTTTGGACTTGCTTTTAGATCGTTTTGCTTTTTATTACATAGTCAGAGGAAACTTGAAGAGCATCTACTCTTTGCAAAAATAAGCTAGCACAGTTTCTTCCTAGATCCTTTTTAGAGGACTAGTTTCCTGTCTTTTGTCCTTGATTTATTATTGCCTTTATTTATTCTCCCCCATCTGGTTCATTTTACTCTTATTTTAAAAGGACAGCTCCAAAGACCCTTCTATTTTCATGGAAATTGCTCAGTAGTAACAATTTCAGAGGGCTTCTAGAAGAATAATCATCATGCTGGCTGTTTCACCCAAGATGCTTTGTAGCATTTCACATAACAATTTAGTAATTAATGACAAATTAAATGGAATTTGGTAAGAAGAATCAGAGGTTAGAGTACTGGTATATATTGTGTGTGAAAAGGTATGCAAATATCTTCAGAACATTAGTGGTTCATCAGTGGGAAATAATAGCTATTCTACTTGAAAATTTCAAATGCAAGAGGGCTGCTGCATAGAGGCAAAATTTGGAAATTATTCATCATTTAAATTTTTTAACAGTTTCTTTGATTAAACACTGTTCCTTCATTTAAAGACACAATGAACTTGGTCTTTTTGTTTTAATAACTTTAAAATCATAGAAATTTGGCTATACTTTTGCTGCTTATATTAATTACATGTTAGGAGACAAGAAGTAATTTTTGGAGATCAGCAACCAATGTTTTCATCTTTCAGAGGAGGAGAAAAGGCATGGACTCCACTTGTCTAAAGCAGGCAAACTACAGGCTGCAGACCAAACCCAGTTTGCCTGCTTCTGTAAGTAAAGTTTCATCTACATACTATCTATGCCTGCTTTCACACTACTATGGCAGAGTTACAGCAGAGATCTTGTGGCCTGCAAAGCTTAAATATTTATAGTTCAGTCCTTTAAATTCACCAACCCCAGCCTAGAGGTTAGAGCTGGAGAAAAGAACACTTATCATAAAGAGAGAATAAACGTTTTAACTGAGAAAATACTCAAAATTTTAAATGTGCCCTTCTACTATTTAAAGCTTACAAATGGTCATGACCAATCCAGCTGTCATAAAAATTTTCCAAATGTTCTTTTTATTCACTGTACTTTTACAAGAAGACCTTCTTCAGCCAGATTTTCTGTAGCCCAACAAGCAGGTGACTCACTTGTGGGAAACACTAATTATTCCCAGTAAGAGAAGGCTTTGCAAAGAGTGAAATGCGTTCTGTCCTCTGTGGGAGTTCTGGACAAACACAGGTTTCCCATGTCAAATAAGGTGATGGCTTTGGACATATGTCAATTAAGTTATTTTTCTTGCCTCTAAATTTGAGAGTGAGACAAAATATCTTTACCTATCTTCATTTACTTTATGTTCAAAATACTAATGTCTAAAGTATATTTGGGGCCATGAAAATCTCTTATTACTTTTAATATGTTCACCCCTGATATATAAGATGCTACAACAATACATCATTTCAATTCCTTAACAGTCCATTCATGTTGATGAGGGCATAGACAAAGCCCCTAACAGAATACCCTGCATGTGCCCACAACTTGGTACCACCCAAAGGCACCTAACACAGCAGCCAAATATTAGCCTAAAGCCATGACATTTAAGTAAACCTTACTGAACATTATTTTTCCCCATCAGAACCTTATGTATCACAATTGGCCAACTGCTTCAGCACAGTCTCAGTCCCTTTCCTCCTGGAACTCACAGTCTCTGTAATACATGTGCATGCATTGTAGACCTGGTGTTTTAGAAGGAGAGCTGGACCAGGTGTGTGTAGAATGATAAAGTGTGTGAACAAATAAGGTGACCTAGTCACTCCATGTTACAGGAGGAAATTGGATTAATTCAGGATGTCCAAACTTGGTATCTGTATAACCTCTCAGTCACCATTTCAACAAATAGTTCTGAGCACCTACTGTGCCCAGCACTGTGTTATGTGCTGAGTAAATAGCTGGGGAAAAATAGATATGGCCATACTCTCAGGAAGCATCCCATTACATGAATTTATTATGAGAAGGGATTTAGGAAGAGTAAGTAAGAACAAAATACATGCACAAATATATAACAAATTATGACAAATACAATGAAGAGACATTAATATGGGGGGGTCTACTTTAGACAAGAAAGGCCTCTCCAAGGAAGTGGTACTAAAACTAAAACTAAGGAAGAGCCAGATGAAAAAAATAGTGGTGGGTGAGGGAGCCTTCCAAGCAGACTGCAGTATGGATAAAGGTGCTCAGACAAGAAAGAGCTTTGCACAATAGAATGACTGAAGTAAGACCTGCACCCATGGCAGACATTACTCATCGATCACAGTCCTCTTTTCTGTTGAAAATGGGCAAAGCCTCAGAATTCTCAACACAGCATTCCAGGAAGCCACTACCTATCAATTGGATTAGAGAAAAATGAAACCTATTTGTTAGTCTTGGACCACATGGTTCCAGAAGGTCTTCTTGTCCTGAAATTTTCTGATACAATAATTCTCATTTTATTCAGTATTTGAATACTAACTCTTGGTTGGAACATCCTTCATAGGTCTGTTTTCATCCAACTTCATTGAATTCCTGGAGATTACAACCCTTCTTTCTCATCTCATTCCACTCAATTCCTATAGGCAAAGCCCTTTTATACACCTGGAATACAGGGATTTTTAAATTCCCTTTCCCCATTGGAATCTTACCCATGTATATCAGTATCTACTGCTGCATAATCAACCACATCAAAGCCTAGTGATTTAAAACAACACTTCACCTTTCCCCACAGTACTGCAGGTTGGCTAACCATTCAGATGAGGGCTGGGTTCAGCCCAGATCAGTTGGGATGGCAGAGATGACTAGTTCATTTACTCCACTGGTCCTTCACCTGGTTTCTTCTTAGCACAGCAGTCTTGGAGTAGGGTCATTTGATGGTGAAGCAGAAGCTTTAGGGCCCCTCAAGGCCTAGCTTCAGAACTTCCATTGTGTCACTCTTCTCATGTTCTGTGGATCAAAGCAAGTTCACAGGGCTGGTTCATATTCAAGTTCCTTCTTTTGTTATGGAAGGGGCATGGAACATGCATTGTAAAGGGCTATGCAAAGGAAAGGGGAGAAATTGGGACCATTTTATCTGGCCCAACAAAATGTTATTTCAAAATTGTCAAGAAAGAGCAAACAGCCAGGTTGCCTAACTCCTAGCCCATCATTCCTCCGGCTCAATTCTTCCTGCCCTTAAGGCTCTACTGGCCAGTTGGTAATTGGTAGGGGCAGCCTAATGAAATTGTGATAATAATTCCTAAAAGCATGGCTGGCCTTGAGCCTGATGTGGCTAAAGGCAAACAAAACTTCCTAGTTGGAACAGGTCTGTTTATTGCTATAGCGACACCATATCATTGATGTGGAAGTTCCTGATTAGCTCAGCTCCCAGAGAGTGTGAGAGATCACACAGCTCTAAAACACCCAGTATTTTTCCTTCATGATTTAACTACATATCACTTTCTACCTTGTAAAGATAGTACTGATTTTTGTAGACATCATAGTGGAAAGAGCTCAGACACAGAACAGATAGATTTGTATTTCAAATCTCAAAGTAGTTGGGGGGCCTAGAGTATACCTTTTGCCTCAGTTTCCTCATCTATTTAATGAACAAATAGCACCTTGCAAGGTTGTTGTGCAAATTAATGGAAATAAATGCCACACTTGTAGAGAACTTGCTAACATACAGCAGATACTTAATAAATACTGACTACTATTATTATCACCTGGGTATGGTCAGGGTAACTTTCCTATTAGATGTAGGCTTGGGCTGAGATTTGGAGGCTGAGTAGAATTTAGGTGTTGGGGAGCCACCTGATAGAGAAAGTAGCAAACAAACCACAGCAGGACTCATTTTAGTCAAAACAACTGGCCCAACTTGGCTGAGTGATCTCATCCTTAAATTTAGCCTCTCATCATTGGGTTAGGAAATAAATAGGGAAGAAGGCTGAGGCCAGATAGACAAGAATTTTGAATGTCTGGATAAGGAGCTTGGGCTTTTTCTAGCAGATAACTGAGGGTCACAGAAGGAGAGAGTGACCAAATAAAAAACAGTCAGAGGAAGATTCGGAAGACTAGTCCAGTGGTCTTGGCAGGATGGCTAGACTAGAGAGAGACCAGAGGCAGGGAGGGGAGGTGGCATATGGAGGTAAAATGCACTTGATTATGTCCTCCAAACTGATGTTTCTAATCTCTTTGAAGAGTTGGGTGGTTTGGAACTATGTCCATGAATTCTTTG